CATTTTTAATATGTTTATAACACATCTATAATATTATGAGAAAATTAGTCTAATACAAAAGTAATTTTACATGCTTCAAGCCTCAGTTCCAGAATCTAGATCATGTTTTGAGTAAATTGAACTTAATGGGATTATAAATAGATCAAAACATACAGTGTGAAGTCCTACAGATAAATTTTGGTGCCTCACATATCTTCCTGTGTGTTGCTTGGCTTTCTTATCTAAGGACCCCTACAAGCAATTAAGATATTAAAACTAAAATTGCAGGCAATGCACATCCTTTTAACCATTGCAGATGCAAAATAAATGTGTCAACTTACAGCTCAGACAAGCTTCAAGAATCACATTTTACTTTCATTCACCCATGTGTATTGCCCATAGCCGATGAAATTATGAACAGCTGTATCTGATCAGACCAAAGGTCTGTTCAGCCATGTAATTTCTGAGTCTCATGGAAATTACCATATGTTAGGGATAGTAGGTGGAAAAGGTAACAGAATTGCTCTTGGGTTGTTGTGGCCTCAGAGTAGCCTGGAGAGTGTTGTCTGCTGCAACTTGTGTGCTGCTTCCAGATGTTATTTTCACACTGTCAAGATGCACCAGGAAGACAGACTGCAGGAAGGATGTACTCTATCTATTGCAGAGGTGACAGGCAGTATTTTGGATGGGTTTTTCAGTGACAGTGCCATGTTAATGTTTGACTCAATGATCTTAGAGGTCTTTCACAACCATAATGATTCTATGATTTTACAAAGTTTCTAGAAGTAAAATCTGCCCGAGAGGGCAGAACTTTTTCTATCAGATTTCATTTGACAAAGTCCTAAACCTGTAATACCACATCTTTCATGGATATTACTAGGTCTGTAGGTCATGGTGGAGGAAGTGTCCTACCTGATTCAGATGGTTCTACTGATTTTACCCTTATAATAATGTGTGGCTTATTCCTATGCCTAATTTACGTTGACAGCTGCTATTGTTCCCTTTCAGAAAAGGTAACAAATGTCTGCTTTGTTTCTTCTCACACAGCATTTGCTCCAGCTTCCCTTGTCTGAGTAGATAATCATTCAGAACAGGAAACCTTGAAGATCAACCTCTTGTAGAAGCAGTAGTTTTCTGACATCTCTACAGCATAGCCACCAGCTATTAACAGACAAGGAAAGGGGTCTTTTACCTTCTACTTTTACACTTTTTAGATAAAATGAAGTTGGCCCCTTCCATTCCTCAGCAAACAGAACACAGAATATGTTCTGATTGTTGTGAATCTTTTTAGATGTTTTACTTGGAGCTCAAGGTTCTCTTTTTCTTTTCCAAATTCCTCAATGTTTCTGTTCAGCTGGTATGAATCCTTCATTTGTACAATTGCTCTTGTGTTCACTGAAAATTTTTTAAGGTATTTTCTGGCCAAAATGCCACATCTAACATTCTTACTAATACTAAAAAAAAATTATTATCTAGGTGTATACTTCTCAAAAATTGATCTTAGACCCAGATGAGTGTCAAATCTTTATTAAAAATGCTTTATCTCTTTAATCTCCAATCTCAGAAGCATCAACACATTCTAATAAAAGTAACTTTCTTTGTCATCCAGACTCTTCATAAAACTCTGCATTTAATAAGTGTTTAAGTAACCCTTTTTTCATTGAAGAACCAGAAGAAAGTATATTGAACTTTATTATGTTTCCTATTTACAAGGATCAATTTGTGGTTATTCCATTTGAATTCTAATCCCTATATTTTATTTATGGTTGTTGATTTTTATATCTTTCTCTGTGTCTGAATTTGTTGTATGCTGGGTGGACATGGAGGGGGGGGTTGAGAAATCAGACACAACTGCTAGTGTTTGTAATCATATCTCAACCTTGTAAAACTGGAGGGTTATCACAGCAAATAGCGGTGGTAATTAGTATTTCTGAATAATAACAAAGTACTGTAAGTAAACACTGACTTTAAAATGCAAAATGTCAGAACATGCGTTCTTCATATTTTTATTATTATATTAATTAGTAAGTCAAACTCTCTACAAATTCAAAATATAGTTTTTATTTTGAAATTTAATCTCTATTACTGTTAATCTGGATTACAGAACCATAAATTTCTGTCTTTTTACTGCATGTACTGCCCAACATTTTCATTTAATGAATCTTCACTACAGTTAAAATAAACAATTTTAGGCTTTGTACCATTTAAAATGTAGCTGGTTTAATGATATTTTCAGTTATGCAACTGCTGTGCAACAAGCATGTGTTATAAACCATCATTACATACCATGTATATATGAATATTATAGGTATATTTTTCATCTACATAATTTAAATGAAAGGAATTTCACAGAAACATTATAATTTGAGAATTGTACAACTGAATTTACAAGTTAATACTTTTCCTGAACACAAGATGAGAAAAGAGTTTGTCATGGACATCTCTTGAACTTGATTAAAGCTGTTATGGAGCCAACTCCATGTCTAGTATGAAGCAGAATAGCAATACAGTAAAGAGTTTTAAGTTTGAAAAGCTTTTTTGGTAGCCATGTTTGATAGAAATTACCTTTCCAAACAGAATTTTGATTTCCATATATAATTCTCTACTGGACTGAAGTGTGCATTATTCAAGCAGATCGGATTTGCTGAAAATAGTGATGACTACAAGTTTAAGATTAGAATTTCAAAATATTGCCTTTGCTCATGCATAATATTCTAAGACTTGATGCATTGTTTTTATTAGTAGTACTATTAAAGATTCAGACATTTTATGAGATGTGTATGTTTGTAAAGTGTTTTTGGAGCACGGCAATTTGCTTTACAGCTAAGAAGATAATACCCTAATACATTGCAAATGCAACTGCTTGCTCCTATTTCAACAGGGAAATGTAAATGTAATGGAACAGAATTCCATTTTGATAGCACTGATTACTCTGTAGGCAGTTTAACTTTCCAAAACTGGTTTTATAACATTCACACCTGGTTCTATGTCAAAGAGACAACTTTAACATGTATTATGTTTTTTAGTAAGCTCTCAAGTGCCTTGAATGCACTAACTACCATTTCAGCAATAATAAGTAATACCAAGTAATACACGATTGAGTCCTGAGTGAAACATGAAGTAAAAGCCCATTTATTTTAGCATTAAAACCAATTTAATTCCTGTAATGATATTTTTGGACTAGCTGAATTCTAGGTGTACTTCTATATCATGTGATTCTGAAGCAGCACAAATAGCATCTAAAATATATGCATTCTTTAGTCAAAGTTCCAGATCATTGTTACTTAAGTCATTTTTCATGAAAACCTATATTATCCTAAATACACCACAAGTTTTGAAAAGCCATTATTGAAACGGGCTGTCACTTACAATGATATTTAATGAGTAAGAATGTGGCAGGTCTTTTCTCTTTTTGATTTCTGACACATTTTCTGTTAATTTCTTTTCCTTACAGAGCTAACAACTTTGATGGGTGTAAATTAGTAACATCACAGTACTTATAGTGCCACTTACTTTTGGGTGGCTAAGCTATCATCCACTCTTAAATAATGAAACTATTTAGTCTTAAGTTATTTGTAGTTGTCCTTTGGTTTCCTGAACCATAAGTACGGTTGCAGGACAAGGGCATCAACAAACATCTATTTCTGTAATCTGAAATCTCTCTGTTTCCACAAAGATTTTGTATTTTTTCAAATCAAAGCCAACAACCTGATTAAAACATTGTAAAAGAACTTCAGCAGGGGAGTGGGGGGTTAGAAGATACAGTTGTACACATCTACAGAATAAACATTCAACAAAATGCATCATCACAAGTATTTTGATAATTCCTTTTCATTTTATTTTTCATTTGTGAATCAAAAATAGCCAGAATTTTTTTACAGTATAAACAGAAGTTCATCTGAAAGTAAGAGTTATTGAAAGTTATTGTTTTGATAACACAGATGATTCTGCAAATTATGAGCTGTTAAGGCAATTCCTTGACCAAAATTCATTATCACAGTTTTTATATTCCTTATTATATATAATTGATTCTATGCATTTGCATAGAACTTATATACTATGGAGGCAGGAGATTTTGACAGACTTCTAAACCAGACTATTAAACAGAAATAACATATATTAATTTCTTTTTCCATAAGGCCATGTAATTTTTATGCATATAGATTTATTCCAGGACTGCATTACAAATCTAATTAGGGATCATAGAGAAAATTTCAGATTATTATTCCCTGAAATAATGTATCTTTCCTTATATCTTGTTGTGCCATATGCAGTTGATTGCTTTTCAACACCATCTCAGAAGTGATGTTTGCTTTCACTTATTAATAAAATAAAATTTTCAGAAACAGTTTAGTAGACAAAATGCTGAAGAGTAAGGTTAAGACCTGTAAATTGAAAAGCATAGTAAATTTAAAAGTCGCAATATCTGCATACATTCTTCATTGCATTTAAATCAATTCCATATATCTCTCCAATTTCAGAATTATTTTAGGATTATTGAGCTTTGAGACATTTGGGAATATTGTTTCATAAAATATGACATAAATTGTGATATATTTGTTTGTGTTGTTTGTTTTGATGTCTTGTGGTTTTTATGTTGTTCCATTGTCGAAGTTTGCAGTAGAACTCAATGAAACTCAACCCTTTTCTGCTGTGTTGATTTGTATGTCTTGATGGAATAGGGTCATGTGTTACTTTTATTTTTTTCATTGGCAAGAAACTGCAATTTAAACTGAACAAACCCCAGAAAGCTCTGTTTGAATTGGCACTTCAAGATCTCCGTGTTTAAGTGCATTCTAAATTATAGCGTTGATTTCCACATAATGCTGAAATAGATGATTTTGATAGTTATTTCTGTAAACTATTTTAACAGTATTTTATAATGCAAATTATCAGGCTTACAGAAAGCCAAATATTTTAGTAAAGCATCATGTATTCAATGTGCTTTGGATATTCCATTTATGCCGATGATTAATTCTTACGACATATCTTAGATGTAATAATCACTTCCTTGATTTCAGGAGCTGATGCTGTGGAAGCTCAGTGTAAGAGATTTGAAGTGAGAGCAAGTGACAGTGGAAAAGTATTGTTTTCTGCAGATGAAGATGAGATTGTCATTGGAGCCGACAGACTGAAAGTAACAGGTACGGTAATAATAAAGATTTTAATTGGATGTAAGCATATATTTTTTAATACTTTCAGTAGTAATTAAAAAAAATCTAATCCACTGTAGATGAAACCATTTTCTCATTATCAGTGATTGTTTGACCAACCCAAAGATACCTCATAATCTAAATTCTCAATTCCCCTCAAAGAAGATTTGAATTTAAACTCTGCAGGATTTGTACTGGGGTACAAATCACACTTGCCACTGTGTTTTGGCTTTTATATGTTACCATTAAGCATTGTTTTGTGGTATGTGTGCCATTTGTTTAGGTAATGCTCCTTAAATGATAAAAAATATATATGGTGACCTTTGTTTTTCTGTACACAAACTATAAAGTCTTAGCTTCCATATGAATTAAGATTTCATGAGGCTCAGCTGAAAAACCCTGCCTTGACTTGGCTATATTACTTTATAATGAAATAAAGGTTGCTGTTATAGTTTCACCACAGCCAGCACCTAATTTTTACACAACCACTCACTCACTCCACCAGTGTGGCTGGGGGAGAGAATTGGAAGAGTGAAAATAAAACAAAAAGCAAACTCATGGGTGGAGATAAAGATAATTCATTAAGCAAAGCAAAGGTCACACACACAAGCAAAGCAAAACAAGGAATTAATTCACTGCCTTCCATGGGCAGTGAGGTGTTCAGCAATCTGAACAGAGAAAAAGAGAATCATGCTGAATCCTGCTAAGGGTCAAACTTGGTCATAATACTATAGGCTGAGAAAACTAATATTAAATGTGCAGTTGACACAGGAGATGTCAAAGCATCTATCATAAGTTAAAAAATAAAACATCTTTCAAGTGGCACTAAGAATTAGATTCCCTGCCATGATCATTATTTTTTGATCGGACATTTGGCACCATAAGAATTAACTTTTTCCAAAGATTGTGTGATACCTTTAAATTCTTCAGCAAACACATGAAAGGTGATGAGTCCCTGTGAGCAGCATCAATCAGACTGTATTACTCCACATGGCATGATATGACTGATGAAACCTGGCAGGAAATCATAATGTCAAACATCAACCAGAATTTTTTCTTTAGTTTATTTTTCTCAAGCTTGTGTTTTTTTATTATCACAGTGCCTTGGGGTGAATATAGGAAAGGAATTATGGAAGAGGAAATAAAAAAAAAAACCCAACAAACTTGAATATAAAAAAGGGAAAATAAGATGTGCTTATTTGGAGATAAAGCTCTCATATGTATTTATTTAAGGGTGGTACTATAATGAAATTATTTTATTTTCTTCTATAGAAATCAATAGTGTCTCTTTGGAAACACTTCACTGTGAATGTTTCCAATAAATGATGTATTTTAGTAATTAAATTTCAAAGTATGCCCATGGGCATTTGTAAACTACCATAGCAATGTGGGATTTTTTTTGTATATTATTTTTCCTCCATTCAGAAGAATGTTTATTAATGCTCAGCTTTTAAAAGCAATCTATCATAAGCCAGTCTAAGAAATTCTTTATTCATAAAAACTTAATCTTTCAAGTTTCTCACTGATTATCTTTTGTAACATTTTTATATGTAAATTTTTATATAGGCAGCCTATTCTAAGAAGAAAGGTATAGTAGAAACAGGGTAGTAATCCAGATATCAATTTATTTCCCAGATAAGAAAAATATAGAATCAGAAGTAGTACTTCTTGGTTTAGAGAAATTGCAGTTGTATATTTGTATATTAAGAGTATCTCACTTTAAAATTAGGTAATTGGCTGGTTTACTTTGAGCTTCTTACTCTTCCTTACATTGCTAGTTTTGCTTTTTCTTTTAACTACATTAGCTATTTTCTAATGAAAGGAAATTTTCTATTTTCTAATTTCAAGGAAAGAAGAAAAAGTATTCAAATTTTGTGTTGTTGGAGAGGGCTGTTAGAATTGCAGCTGTCCATTATCCTTTTGCACTGAGATGCCTCCTGCCACCAAGTTTAACATGTATCATAGAGATTTGGAGGGAGGAAAGAGGAAGGCTGGATGAAGTGAACATATTGTTAAAGAACTGGGGAATCAAATAGTAACAAGAAGCTCATTTTCTGGTGGGCTTATGGGTTCCTATCTGCACGTGATGAAACCTTTCTCCATATTTTATATTCACCCTGCTGTTCCAATGGACATTTATATGCATTTATATTCATTTATAGCATCAGAGAGTCTTCTTTTGTCCCATTGCAGCTACAGAACAAGAGTATCTGTTTGATTTTTTCTTCCCTTATTTAAATATTAATTCAATATTTTCTTCTCTTTACTTTTATTTCATTTTTCATTTAACTGGAATATGATCTCTGTAAGATACTCTGGTAGAAGAACTGTGCTGGTCAGCCTCGTTCTTGAGGATACAAGCACATATCATGAGGCAACTTTATCCTTCCAGAGCATTTTTGAGGAAGATTGAGAATCCCTTAGGTCAGTGTTCATTTTTCTGAGACAATGCTGTGAAATAAAGTTATATAAAAGCCTTCACTGGATGGCTCTGTTAGTATAGTTTGGTTTTTTTCTTTCTTTCTTAAAGCAAACTCGTAGTTAGCAGCTGTATAAAAAGGGTGAAGGAACCTGGAACTCACCTAGTTTTAGTCAAACTACACCTACCCTTTTTGACAATGTAAACGAGGTTTTTTCTCCTTTGTCTTCTGAGGTGGCTTTCCTAGTTAAGGCTAAATGCACATTATCAGAAATTCTCTTTTTTCCCCTTCAACTTATACCTTTCTACCCAAATTTTACAAGCATTTTGCTTTTTCAAAAGGGTATTTCTCTCTCTGTGATTTCGTAGAAGAGACAGTAGTTTAACTCTCAGGTTACCTCCTTCACGTTCTTTTGATCTATATAATTCCTTCACTTTTCTATAACATTCTTTATTTAAACATGATTTTATCTCTGACTCTTCTTCCAAGACCCATAAAAACTATGGTATAATTTATTTTGTTCCAGGTTTACATAGCTTCTATATAAATTATACTTGCATATGCGGCTTTTTATGTTTATTAATCATGCTTAAAAAAGGCAAAGCAAAAATAGATCTGCAAATTAAATGAGATAGATCATCAGTCAGAAGCCATTGCTGTTCTGCAGTCAAATCCAATTATGTTTTCTAGATGTAGCAAATCAGCTGTATAATTTTTTCTAAATAACCCAGTCTAAATTGTTTGGAAAATATTAGTTACCTTTAAGGAAATTGAATTAATCTTGTTTCCTACTGCTTTCTTAATTTCTGGATTATTTTCTTTCTTACTGCTGCATATCTGGGTGGTATAGTCGGTTTTACCACAGGACATGAAGTCCTTTCTGGAAAGAACAGAATTTTTTTATTATGATAATTAACATGTCAACAGTAATTCTTTTTCTCTAACAAGAAATAAGGAGCTACTTAGAAACTTGTTAATTATAGTTTTACCAAGATTTTTCTTCTGTAAAGTTCAACTGCTTCATAATTTTTGGAAACAAAAATTTTCAGATACATGAAGTTCCACGTCTGTCTTGTATGACCTGATCTAATTGGTTGAAGATCACTTTTTTCCCATATTTCAAACATAAAAATAGTTCTCACTGGGGGAATTGCAATTGTACAAAGGTTTGCACATTGTTGCTAGCAGTATTAGGAGAAACAAAAGAGGCATAAAAAGTTTGCAGGTCATTATGACTTCCTAAGACACTTCTTCATTGTCAAATAGCACAATCATGTAGAAAAATGGAAGTCAGAAAAGGACAGTAGAGTACATACTTTGGTAACTTTCTCAGATCAATAGAAGGATGTATATAGGTCAAATCTACTTTGACACCAAAACAGTGTCAGGAAAAAAATAAGTGAAGGGCTGCAAGTATCTTTTTCATTACACTGAAGTATATGCTTACAGTGGGTTCAGTCTGGCTTTTGATCAGGCATTGACTTCACTAGATGAAAGATGAGAGCCTTGATGTGTCAAGGAAGTTTCAGAAGGTTCCAGCATACTTATATTCTGATAATATTCTGATAATAATCAGATTTAATATGCAGAAGAGGGCATCAATAGTTCAGTTTTGATTTTAAGATTATACTGCAGGACTGAGAGTCTGCAGGTAATTGAAATATAGAAAGGTCTTCCAGGGTAGTTAAAAGGAAATGATAAAATAGAAATATGGCTTATGGCTATAAAAAGGAAATATGACAGAATTATGAAGAAATATATGTGAATTGCAAATTAGGTTGGAGAAGTAGAAATAAAATATTTATAACAAGTACTGAAATGTAGAAAAATAACTTATTATTTGATGTATGTGGTTATTACAGTAGGCTTAAATCTAGTGCATTGAAAGACTAAATAGGAATTTCAGTATGAATAGGAAAGAAGATCTTGGATTTGCCACATTCAGTGGGTGGATTGTTGTTCAGGACAGATGGAGTTTGGAGAGTGAAGTAGCATAAGATGAAGGGAAGAACTTAATAATTTTAAGGTGGCTTATGGAGCCAAATTATCTGACCACAGTGAAACTACTGAATTTGATATTGTGCTAAAATTTAATCCTTTAAGCAGATATGACAAATTCTTGGTATCCTCAACACTGAATGAACCCAAATTCTTTTATCATCATCTGTCAGTAACAAAAATGCATCACATAGATTGCATTTCTGTGTTTCCTCAGTAATGAGTACATTAATGCGTACTCCCGTGATGAATAAGGTTTCTGATAAGCTTATTTAGGTCTCAAGAAAGCACTTAATGTCTATTCTTGCCTTTAAGGGAGCTCTGACTGAAAGATAATGTGGTAGTCTAACCACTTGACAAAACAACCTGTCAGGGCATGACTCTGAAGGCACAACTACAGACCTGATTACAGTCACATATATATCTGAATCCAACCTGTCTATGAACTGAAAGCTTTATGGGCAGGCTACAAATGGTGAGAATAAATAAGTAAATAAATAAATGAAGAGATTTCTTATCCAGGACATTGCTTAAATATATTGATATATCCTATTTAAGGGTAGAACACATCCA